CATGGGGGTTCTCCATGCAAAATATCAGGAAAACTTCTTTTTTTTTGGTGTCTGGCCTCCTTTAAAGGCGCATAGGGTGTCCGAAATTTGAAAATCGAGGAAAGTAGGTCATGATTATACTCATTTTGAAGCTCGAAATGTGACAAACTCAGAAATAATTAATAGATGTTTGAAAAATAAATAATAACGAAGCTTGCTTACATAACACTTTTTTGGGAATATTCCAAAAAAACTTGTGTTGATCATAACTTTNTCAATTTTCAGAATTTCGAGGTAAAACTTAATTTACTGAAGACCCATGCTCTCGCCGCATGCGTCTCTCGTTGGCCTGCCCGCTCGAAACTGATGTATTCCATATTTCGCGGTCTCAAACTTTTTCTTCTTCTTCTTATCACAATTCGATGTGACTTTTAAAGAATTTGAAAGCTAATTTTTTTTCCCAGAAAACCAATTAAAAATGCCAGCCGGTTCCAATACTGAAGGTATTAACAATTTGGAGGTGAGTTAATTAATTTTGTTTCAATTTTTACTAGAACTAACGATGAGCAATGCATCTGAGCATTCAAAAGAACTGGTATGTAAATAATCTAATACTTTTTGAGACATCATTAATTTTTCAAAGCATTCATTTTCAGCTCGAAAGCTTAAAATGCTCGGATGTCCGTTGGTTTTTCAAGAATCGAGAAGGCGAATCAGAAGCATTCAATGGAAATGACAGTTTGATACTAGAAATAATGTACCGATTTGCAAATGGAAAGAATTTGGACCCAGAAGCTCTATCAATTTATGACAAATACCTCAGCAAGTTTTATTTTCAAAAAAAAAAAGAATCTTCTGGAACTTCGAATGACCAGGAATTCAAACTTCCTCCACTGATTCTGAATCATTTGTATGAAATTTCTGAAGACTTGAAGACTATTTCTCCAGTTTTCTGGAGTGGAACACCAATTTCCATCGAAAGAGTGGTCTATGTGACACTCGATGATAAGATGATCGAACGGAAATTACAAAGGAAGCTTGAAATGAGACAAGAGAAGGTTCAGGGTGGGTTCAGATACAGGTCTGGCCATAAATCTATCCCCCTTTTGGTTTTTTTAAAGGTGGGGGGACAGGAGATTTTACGGGGGATTTTTGGGGCCAGAGTATGCATTCTACCGTGACGGTGTACAACACTTAATGTCACTCTGCGTACAGCTGTCGTCCTCGCCTTTATGTATGCAATCGGGCGACCGCTTTCTCTTTGCCCGTGTAGCTCAGTCGGTAGCGGCGCCGCACCCTCAATCCTCGTCCCACACGTTCAACTCCTCGAGAGGCATATTTAAACGAAATTTCGAGAACATTATTTTTTTCATGTCCCCCCACCTTTAAATGCAACGATCTTTAAAATAGAGCTAAAGCAACAAAATTTCTTGTGATATGTAGCAAATAACCGAAGAAAAATACATTTAGGAAAACTTCTGATTCTTTTGATTCCAGTTGCCAACTATCCACACGAAGAGATAATCAAAATCCGAAGAGGATCAAAGAAAAGATCGGTCCAAGTGACTTGGCGCTCTAGAAATCAGTTGACGATCCAGAGAGAGGGTGACAAAAGAACGACTGTTTTAAAAGTGAGTTTTCTCAATATTTCAAAATTTCTTGAAAAACTTCGTTCGGTTTAAAGATTCCAGGAAAATTAGCCGACCGACCGACCACGGGTTTTCAAAATCGAACAGACCTAAAGTCGTACTGATTCAAATCAGAGCAGTTTCTTTCTCGAACAAGTATCAAAACAGAACAAGGACAGAATCGAACTGTTCTAATTCGAACTGTCCCAAATTGGAACGCTGTTAGCCGCCGAGCGCGCTTGCATTTCTCTTCAAATTCTCGATCAAATTCAAAATTTGCGAAGAAAA